GAAGAATTTTCTAGCTTCTGGATAGAGATTAATAAGGCTGATGTTAGGCCAGTGTTCTGAGAACTGTTACAAAATAGATTGAAGGCTCAAAGTTCAGCTTAATCCCTTGTAAACTTTCACTTAATTTCTGGTTTTGGTACAGAATCTTTGCCCTCAGCTCTAACTGGTGTCCCTGATCCAGAGCTTATCTGGTTCACCCTCTCCAAAGAAAAATCATCTGCTGGGCTTGGGTAGAAAGAATCTCCCAGATGTAAGATGTGGAGGAGAGGAAAGATCTGCTTCTTAACCATTCATAATCTTGTTTCCAGATCTACTTTCAACACCACTTTGAATTACCTAGTTTTGCCAATTCTATATTCTTTCTAGGGCTCTCCAGTACAAATCCAGTTGCAATTTTCAGAGTTTTGTTGTTATCTCTCCTTTTTTGTTGTCTTTGTCCTCATAGTTTTATGCTTTTATATTTTTCGTCTTTTTAAAATCTCTTTACTACTATTTTACAGGTGTCTTAGAATGGAGCAGCAGTAAATGCATGTGTTTAATCTTTAACTAGAGACCTTAGTGGTGTCCTTTCCCCAGTCTTACTCCATTCCAAATCACTTTCACACTACTATCAGAGTGATGTTGATAAAATGATATTCTGTTCTAGTCATCTCTTTATTTAAAATCCCTCACTAGTTCCCACTGCCCAATGATAAATTCTGGTTCTTCACATAATATACAGAATACCCCTACCTGTTTCTCCAGCTTCATCTCTTGTTTGCAGCACTCCTTTTTAAGAAGTATTTGTTGTAGGCCGAGCCCGTGGCGCACTCGGGAGAGTGCGGCACTGGGAGCACAGCAGCGCTCACGCCACGGGTTCGGATCCTATATAGGGATGACCGGTGCGCTCACAGCACTCACTGGCTGAGCGCGGTGCGGCCGGTCTCAAAAAGGACAAAAAAAAGAAGAAGAAGAAGTATTTGTTGTTTTGTAAATACCTGATGTTCTTTCCTCTTCCTTATTTTTGGATGTTCAGTTTCTTTTGGCTGGCGTACCCAGCCCCATCATTGTCTGCCTGGTAGTTCCTCCCATGTCAAGATGTAGTTTAAGAGCCATCTTGTCTATGAAGCCTTCCTTCGTTTCAATAGTTGTTTATCCCTTTCTTTGTGTCCATACTGTGTTCTGCAAACTATAATGTCAGCACTTATTATACAGTATTGCAGTTATTTATTTACAGGTCTGTTTACTGGAATTTGAACTTCTTGATAGAGATAATGTCTTAATCATTTCTGTATCTTCAGAATTTAGCAATGCCTGACATGAGCTTGGGGTCCAGTATATGTTTTCAATATATTTGTCCTCTGATATCTACACAGCACACTGTATTCAGCTTTTGATGGAGAAAGCGATACAAAACTGAACAGACGTGTACATAAATATCTTTTCATGTTATTAAATATCCTACATATTAGTGGCTGCCAAATATTTCATTATATGGATATACCATAGTTCATTTAATTAATAACTTATTGTTAGGTATTGGTTAATGTTTCCAACTTTTTGCTATTTTAAATTGTGCTGAATAAATTTAAGGTACATCTGCGATTACTGGACATAAATAATATTCTTAGAAGTTAAAATGCTGAATCAGGAATAATGTCTGTTTTAAAGACTTCTGATATATATTCCTTCCAGGTAAGTTGTACTAATTTTATTTCCACCAGCAATTTATTAGGATGCCCATTTTTCTGCAGTCCTTCTAGTACTAACATCTCTGTAATCATCACCACCACCACCACCACCATCATCACTCTTTGCCAAAATGTGTAGGTGAAAATAATATTTCCCTGGTTTAATTCGTATTCCTCTGGTTAATAATGAGGTTGAGTAAAAAAAAAAATTATAAAAAATTTGTATGTAACTTTATAATTTGCCTATGTTTGTCTTCTGACCATTTTTCTGTTTGGATTTTTTCTAGGAGACAAGGAGATATACTATAGCAATGTTTATGAGAGTACATTGTTTTCTTTGACAGTGAACTTATTGTTATCTAATACAATTTCTATGGAGAACTTAAACATAAAATCATTCATTAAAGTAGAAAGCTGCATTGGGGATTAATGACTAAGTTTCTTCGTTTCATAACTGTCTGTGAAAGTCTTTGAATCGTTACCTACAATATTTGCAAGTAGGCTATGTTGAAGAAAACATCTGTCCCCCAAACGGAATGGGACTGGCTGGAAGCAGTTTCACCAAAATTTTGAGGGGGTAATAAATCATTTTTTTAAAATGGTGGGAGGGAGGGAAGGAGGGAAGAAGGAAAGAATGAAGGAAAGAAAGAGAGAAAAGACCACAACAATACATTGAACTTTCAGAAGGAGAGAACAAACCTAAGGACACTAGAGATGGGGGGGGAAGGAGGGAGGGGTTTCGGAAGGGATAGGTCGGGCAAAGGGCAAAAAGAAATATCATGATTTGAACGAATGAATATGCTAATAATTAAAAACTTTTAAATATTTTTAAACAGACAAATATATCATCTTAACCAATACCCATTTAGCTAAGGTTATAGAGTTGTGCAAACATCATACAATTCTGTTTTGGAACATTTCCATTACCCCCCCAAATTTTCTCTTGCCTGTTCGAAGTTATTCTCCATTTTTATCCCAAACCCCAGGCAACCACTGATCTACTTTCTTTCTTTATAGGTTTGCCTTTTCTGGAGAGTTTATCTAAGTTGAATCATATTATATGTGGTCTTTCATGTCTGGCTTTTTTCACTTAGCATAACGTTTTCAAGGTTCATCGATGTTGTAACACATATCAGTACTTGATTTCTTTTTATTTCTGTGTAGCATTCCATTGTATGGACATAGCACATTTTGTTTATTCATTCATCAATTGATGGATATTTGTTATTGTTTTTTAAAATACACTTTTAGTGATCACATTTAGGTTGGTAATCTATCTTCAGTTGACTTTTGTGTGTACTTAGAAGTGGAAGTTTAATTTCATTTTACATGTAAATATACAGTTTTCCCAGCATCATTTGTTGAAAAAGACTATGCTTTCCACCATTGAGGTGCCTTGGTACCTTTTTCAAAAATGAATTGACCATAAATATAAAGTTTTATTTCTGGACTGTGTTTGTGTTCTGTTGATCCCTATAGCTATCCTATGTCAATACCACATTATCTTGATTACTGTAGATTTGTAGCATGTTTTAAAATTGGATAGCATAGATCCTGCAATTTGTTCTTTTTCAAGATTGTGTTGGCTATTCTGGATCCTTTACCTCTCCATATAAGTTTTAAAGTAAGCTTGTTTATTTCTATAAAAAGAACCTGCTGGAATTTATAAGGGATTACATTGAGTCTGTAGATCAATTTGTGGAGAATTGCCATCTTAGCAATATTGAATCTTTCAATTCACGAACATGGAATTTCTATCCATTTATTTAGATGTTCTTTAGTTTCTGTTAGCAGTGTTGTATAATTTTCAGTGTATAAGTTTTATACTTCATTTGTTAAGTTTATTCATAAGTGTTTTAATTCTCTTTTATGCTATTATGAATGGAATTGTTTTCTTATTTTTATATTGTTTAGTACAATTATGTTTTAATAATGTCAAAATGTATATGGCATGTTTTCCCCTACATTTTAACTATTACTAACATTTTACTTCTAGTATGACATATAATTTATTATGCTGGCAGGAACCAATCACTGATGCTTATTACAGGACCAGAACTCTGGACAATAAGTGCCTACGTGTAGTTTTTGTCCTTAAAGAATGAAAGTCCTAAAAAATTTAAAGTATGTTAATACAGAAACAGTCCTGCCAATTCAATTAGAATATATGACAAAATGTTTATAGTAAGACTTTAATAATGCTGACTTGTGTTTCTTGACATTTTATTGATTTTTAGAATTGTTGTAAATGTACTCCTTTGCATTTAATATGTATCAATCAGCAAATTAGTAGATTGTGCTTATGTTGACACTGCAAGTCTCAAGCTAATGGTTTGTTATCGTGCTCATTTGTGCTTCCATCACATTAAAAAATGTTACTTAGGGGAGAAAATTGCACCCTGCAGTTAGTTATTACAACAGAAAGGAGACTTATTTTGCCGGGCTCAACATACACTGTTTTTCTAGCCTTTTAGTAGACAGCCATTGTTTGAATCACTTGTTCTTAAAGTGTGATCTTGCAGAATGTCAATATATTAAATAGGATGAGCTATTATACTTTAACAGCTGAATAACATTAGGACTTTTCCAATTGGCTGAAGAAAATTAAAGTATATTGTTTAAATCTTTTAGTTTTTCAGTTTTTCTCTTGTAAAAATTTTCTTTCTTCTAGGGCACCAGTATTGCTTATCTACTAGTAAGCATTAATGGACAATTAAACAAATGACCAAGTTTATTTGTACATGTTAATAGAAAAACTCAGATTATCATGCTTACTTCAATAGCTTATTTACACTAGCAGAGAGTTACTGTTTTATATGGTAATATTAATGATATTCTGTGGTTCTCTGCACCTGAACAAATTTAAGAACCACTAAGTTAAATAAATTATTTGATTAATAAAGGAACTATATTTAACTAAGAAAAGAGCAGAAATGTAAGTATACTGGGTATACTCATTTGCTTATAGGTAGCTAAGACTCACCAACATCTATACTCTCAATTTAATGACTGTAATGAGTGTGGAACTTTTAGGCTATAATGAGTAAAAAAAAATGGTTAACACTTCTCTCCAACAAAACATAAATGTGAAGTAGACTGTTAGTTGTCTGAAAACTAGGGAGAACAGATGAAGAACAGTCTTGTCCACTGTTTTTATAGTTTCCAAACAGATAAATGGGGTTTTTTTCTTCTGTATTTTCTAAAACTTAATGCTATTAAAATTGATATGTAAAGTTTTATAAATCATATGATGAAGGCAAAATGTAAGTTGTTATGTTCCTGGGATATTTTGACCTCAGATTATTGATTTTATGACTTTTCCCCCTACAGACATGCTGCAGAGAAAGGTAGAAGAGATAACAGCGTTACAAGCAGCAGCATACAATGTCAAGATTGCTTTTGATTAAATAACCATATCTTCAGCATGTTGTTTTTGGATTATTTGTTACCTGCAAATTCTGATGATTTGTAATAGAGCAGTATTTACAGTTGCTATTTCATCTTTGGTTGCAATAAAGTGTGTGCATGTATTTGTTTGTTAGCTTTTCATTTAAATATTGTGCTGTCGAGAATTATGTAGACTATAGCTTTGCTTTTAGTGATAGCAAATCAAAATGATATTAGCCCCTTTGTCCAGGCAGCAACCTATTAGATGTTGACTCTGTACATAATTTATATCTTACTCCCTAGATTTCACATCCTACCACCAATATACATCATCCTTCTCATTCCATCCAAATCAAAGATGTTTGCCAAAAACTATATGCCAACCAGTCTTTACTATGGGCCTGTTACATTCAATGCATAGTGCTAGATACTATAAAGTCGCTCTCCTCTCTAAGGAACTTATTGTGTAGTTTGAGATATAATTAATGCCCATCTGTATAAAAATAATATAAACAATACAAGGAAGTGTGTTATGAATTACAGAAAGTTATAGAAATTCAGAGAAGGGAGGAAACGTTAGGGTAGATTTAGGACTTGAGGTTATTTTAAAAAGGATAAGGGTCAGGCAATTTAGTTATTTCTTATGTATAGTTATACTGATGTTTTATTTGGTTTTAGCATATGATTTATAGTTTTTGGTTTTTGTTTATCTGTTTGTTTTTCTTTTTTTTTTTTTTCAGGAAATGTTTTTTTTTTTTAATCCAAAAAGGTTGCACCATAGTACCCATATGGTTTTCTACTGTTCCACAATCACCCCTTCACAAAGACTGACAAATCTTTAATAAAAGTTAAATTTATAAAAACATTAAGATAACTTTGGGAATGTGTAATAAAAAAGAATGAAGTCCACAAATTACAAATATTTTGCTTATATGCAAACTGCCAATTCTAGCAAATCCAGTCTACTTAACTGATTTGTTTAATGTAGTAATTTTTCTAAAAAAATTTAATTAGGGGATGAGTGATATATTTATGCCCTTGACAAAGATGAGAAATGTGGTATTGTGACCAAGAAAGGAGAATATAATTCCTGGCTATATTATTGTTCTGACTCATCAAAGCTCACAGAATATGTAAAGCTCTTCCATGTCCAATGATGTCAGGCAAACATAATAGAAGGTGCACTGGGCTGGCAAACGTTTTCATCATATAAATCTTCTGGTAATTCCTCTTCATCTCCGTCAGGAAAATATGTAGGAAATGGTAGGTTTTTACAGAAATCCTTATAGGCAGGCAACTTAGAATCTCTGACCTTTACTAAGCAATTTTTATGTCCAGGTACAGACCCATTTACATAGATGATATTGTGCTTTGTGTTTATTCTCCACACTTTCAGTCCATATTCTGTCCTATTTATGTTTCCCATTTGTCCAGGCATTTTAGTTCCAGGCCAGACTCTGGCAACATCACCAGTTGAAATAGCTCCAGGTCTCCTGTGGGTTTTTGTTTGACCATGACTAGCAGGCAGGCTGGCCTTTAAATCCCCATCTTTTCATGACGCCTTGAAAACCTTTACCAATAGTTTTGGCTGTGACATCCACATACTGTCCTGGACGAAAGTGAGCAGCATAAAGAGGAGTGCCTGACTTAATTACAGCATTATCTGTTACATGAAAGATTTTAACTTTCTGTTTTGGCGGCAATCCAAGTTCTCGGTAAAATTCCAACACAGATGTAGGTTTACGAAAACGTGATACAGTTTTTCCTCCTACAGTTAGTGCTGCCATTTTTCCATTATGGTTTTCCTTTGAAGTATATTTTAGGACATGACAGTCTTGTACCTGAAGTAATGTGACCACATGCCTTTGACCATCCTTCGTCCATAAAGGCATCATGCCCAGCTTCAGGGCAATAAGGCCAACTCTAGAGGAACCTGGTTCCCAAGGATGTATAGGCCACGGTTCATCTTTCAGAGGAAATAATTTACTTGCTAATTGGACTTTATTTTCGTCAGACACCAACTGCTTAACAAATGGGACACTTTCTTCAGAAAGATGCTCATCCCACCAAGTACCACTCTTGCCATGGAGACTTCTAACGAAAAGCCAGACATTTGTCCTGTTCCCCGAGCCCAGGGCAGCACCCAGGCCGCCCGCACCTCCACCCAGCACATGGGGGCCGGCTTGCGCCAGCAGCCTCCAACCAGGCATGGAGTGGTTAGGGAAGCCTCGGCTCGCGACACCTACGGGCGCCCCGCCGCTCTGCTTTCAGAGCGTCCTCACACCACCGCCAGGAGCTCGCAGCAGCCCTGTGGAAACTGTCGCTCTGGAGGCTTGCCAATGCCCTCCGCGACGCGGACAACCGATGCAGCCACTCTATCTGTTTGTTTTTCAAGAAAAAGCCTTGTTCTTAGCTTTGGAACAGTCTAGTCTCTTGTCTTTCATGTTTCACCTAAGTCATAAAGATGATGTTTTAAAAAATAACAGTATAACACCAAAATAATTAAAAATTTTTAAGTGACTAGAGCTTATTTGCCTATAATTACTGAACTGAATTTTGTTCTACTGACTGCCCACGACCATTCTGAAGGGAAGAAAATATTTTTGAAATGAATATTCGAAATGATTGGTCTTGGTGATAGACTAAATGCCAGAACTTACATGGCCTCTTTTTTTCCTATCCAAACTTTTCTAAGAAGCAGCTTCTTATCAGGTAAGTTTTTGTTACCACTCAAAATTACAGAATGTAGACGTAATCCAGAGACCATTTAATCTTGTAAATGATTTCTATAGGTTAACACAGCTTTTGAATATAATTTTGAGTAATCTCTAATTTTTGAGTTCAGTATCATTACTATTATACCCTAGATAAAGACATTTTTCCCTATTGTTTTTGTAAATTATTGTAAAGTAGCTTGCGAAAAAGTTAAGTTTCACATTTACTAAAGAGAATATAGTGTATTGGAGGAAACACTGGGTCTATTCTTGTTTCTGCCTAATTAACTGGACAAATAATTTTTTCTTGGGCATTATCTTTTGTCTATAAAATGAAAGAGTTGGACCATATTAGGGTTTTCCCAACTGTTTTGTGAGAAGAAACTTGTTTTTATTTCTCCGACGTCTTGAGATTCCTTTATGTCTTTTCACTACTAGTAGAGCGATTACTGTACATGTCCTAAGGAAAATGAAGAGGAGGCTACATTAGTGCTTGTACTATTTTACTGTTGCACCATCTTCACTGGGTGTCTAGTGTTTTTTTCCAGTACATGTAAGATGCCAGAGAATGGCAAGTGGCTTCCACATCAATCCAGTAACACTGTAAGATTTACTGAGGGATCTTAATGTACTGTCTGGAATCTGCAACCTTGGACTAAATCATCTGTAAGGTTCCTTCTGACTCTGGGTCTAATGTGTCCAAAAAACATGATGTTGTTGTACAAATATTAATTAAAATGTTATAATTAACCTATTTTTGCCAGTAATGTTAAGGCAGCATTTATGTTAGGCACTGGAGTCTTGAGCCCCTCCTAAACACTGTTAAACAGCTAAGATATCAGCTGAAGGAGAATTCTTAAATTTGTAATGTTGACACTATCCCAATAACATATCCAGTTTTTGTCCTTTGAAAAGATGCTATATTTATTCTCTTTATAACAACATTTATGCTTTCTCATTTGGGAAATTTGAAATACATGCACAGTTGTTTTAATATTACCTGATGAGTAGATTCAAGAGAAGATTTTTGGTTTTAACATCTTCCATATCTTTGAATTATAATTGCTTCATAACGTATTCCTCAGAAATGTGCTGTGAACAGAACACCTAAAAAGGACAAACCCTGAAAATGTGTCTGTTAAAGAGGAGCTTTTGGCTTAGTTAAACTAACCTTGTTAAATTGTCAGAAAGACAAATGAAGCATATTTTTTAGTTTGTCATAAGTTCTTCTAGGGGTGAAATTGTGATATTACCTCATAGTAAGATCTCTGTGCCCATGTATAATATCTAGAGATCTCAAAGCCTTTTATATACCATCTGATATCATTTTAAGGTGGGGAGAGGGATGCTGTGGGAAACAGAATAGCTATTATTACAGTTAATAAGTTTGGCAGAGCTAGAAACAGCCTGGTTTTCCTTCTAGTGCAATTTTCTGAATGTCCCTTGGTACCTACCACTTGTGTTGGCTACAGTTATACAGAGATATGTACATTATGTCTTATGACCTTGCTTTCCAGTTGCAATTCCACAGCTATTTATATGTCTTTTAGCCTTTCATTCTCTGCTCATCCCACCTGGTGGATTTGTAATGTAGTGTGTATCACCTCACTACCGATAGGCTGTGTGTTCTATTAGAAGTTGTGTAGAAGTTTGCTGTGACTGGTCGGTGTAATATTTGTTCCTCCCTTTGCCGTCTTTCCAGGGGAAAAAACACACTAGCAACCTTGGTGTATTTTTCCATTTCCTCTTCGACAAATGTGTCAATAGGACAGTTTGGTTGAGCAGCAGAATTCAGCCCCACCAGCATATAGTATTTACCTGATGCAAGCTATGATGTGACCCAGTATGCCATCCAGGAAAACACATTACATTTAGTCATTGTGTCTTCTTTGTTTCCTCTTGGCTTGTCAGGTTCTCACACAGTCCTTGTTTTTCATGACCTTGATAAGTTTTGAGGAGTACTGGTAATCATTGTACTTTGAAATTTCTATCTCACTTATAAGTGAGATTGTCATCTTTGTTTTCATATACTTAAAGACATTTGCATTTCCATTTCTGGGAACTAACAGCTCATGCTTTTAATCACTGTGCTCTATCTCTGTCAATTCACCATAATTATCAGTAAAACAGTCACAGGCCTGAATACATACAGATTTCTGATTCTGATTTGAGAGCTCAGAAGTCTCTGTTACAGATAGAGAACCATTAGTGCTGGTGATATAGTCAGATGTGTGTCTGATCGCTCCAGTTACACTGCAGAGGCTGGACTAGAGGCTGGACTGGAAGCAGCAAGCAGGCCGGATAAATCCTCGAAAGAAAAGCAATGTTGATAGGGACAAATTCGAGGGAAATTCATGAAGAGCCAAGATTTAGTGCTGGATGAGTGAGCCAAGAAGTCAATGGTGACTCTTAGGTTTACAGGCTGGATATTTTGGGTGTTTTTAACCTTTACGAGAAATTCAAGAGAAATATTTGGACAAGTTACAACTTACCTGTCTGTCACTCACCACCTACTTTCTTTTTCCGTTTCTACAATTGTGCTACTACAATTCCCAGAGTCCCGCGCTCCATTACGTCACCTTACTCTGTCGCGCAGAATTCTGGGACTTGAGGTCCGCGGCCTGTTTACCGAAGTTAATGATAGGGGCCTGTGGAAACATGAAGAGGTAAGAAGGGCTTGTCTGAGGAGCGGGCGGCAAGGGGAGCTCTGTTCTACCTTTTTCTTCGAAAATGGCTTCTTTGACTTTCTATTTGGGGTCTGTCACGTTTTCGGGATGCGGTTTCGTGTGAGCGGAAAGACAAAGCAGTAGGGAAGAGGGGAGCGGTGCTAGTCGGGTCTGCGGGGTGAAGTTCAGCGAGGGCCGCAACCGGGACGGGTTTCCGTAGGAAAGCCCTCCCGGCACAGGCCCCGCAAGCTGGCTGGGTGCTGCGGCTTCTTCCTGTTTCAGACAGACCCACCCAGGCAGAAGGGTCTTGGGTGAGAGATTCCCAGCGCCCGAGATACCCAGGCCCGCTCCTGCCCGTCCCGCCCTACCTCCACCTCATCCCCAGAAATGGGCACGGGGTGGGCTCATTGAATCGCAGTGTCTCTGTATTACAGATGACTTGCTCGGGCCCCGAAACCTTATGGCGCTTTCAAATCTTTAAAATAAGAGGGTGATACTTTGTTTCTACAAATTTAGAAGGAAAACACAAAACCAGTTCGATTTATTGTAGGAAAAGAAAGGCAGTTCCCTCTACTGGTTCTGCAGTAAGTGGCTGCTTGAACCTCAGGTGGTCACTGTTGAGAGCCTTTTTAAAGGATCTTTATTAAATTAGTTTTGTATTCACTCCGCAGGTAGAATCATCTCTTCTGAAATAGTGCACTTTCTTTAAAATTCTTACTGATATGCTCTCCTGAACTGTCAGTTCCTTGCACCTTTTTAAAAACCGTTTTTGATTTTCTCCACCTGAAAATAACCTTAATTTTTTTATGATGATGTATCTTGTACATGCAAAATAATGTATAATATGTACAATTTTTCTTTCAACTGTATATATATAATAAAGGGTTGCATCTACTACGAGCTTAAGAAATAAAACATTGCCAGTACCTTAGAAGTCCCCTGTAAAACAAAATGTTTCTTCTTGTATCCATTTTTCAACGTTATACAACACATATTGTATGAATTTTTCTGTGACTTGTGTTTTTTTTTTTTAACTCAACATTTCTTTTGGAGATTTGTGTGTGTTGTCTTTAGCTATGGTTTATTCATTTAAAAGAAACTTTAAACTTAGCAGGAACTTTTGGAATTCTAAATAATAAATTAGAATTGAGACACTTAAAAGGATTTTATTTTTAAAATCTTGTGCCTAAAGATATTTTAGAATTTTCCAAAATAGGTCCAAGTCTTTCTAGAGTATGGGAATCTTTCCTATAATTATCGTAGTTAGTTTTTCTAGGCCTTGTCATAGTCCCACTAGGAAAGGGCTATTTTATAAGGAAGGTATTTAATATTTGTATTCCTCATGGAGTTAATTCATTTTTTTTGTCTTTCATAATCTGTTGTTGCATGCTTACATAACCATGTTATTTCTTTATACTCTAGAAGAATTTTCAGTAATTTAGAATTAGTTATGCTAGCCATTACCTAGATTTCTACACAGTAGTGTCTAGGCTTGAAAATGTTATGACACTCTTCATTACCTAGATTTCTACACAGTAGTTTCTAGGCTAGAAAATGTTATGACACTCTTCATGTTTCTTTCTATACTCTCTCCTTTGGAGATCTCCTCCTCTGTTGCAGCTCCAGATCTTGTCAATACAGATAACTCGAGATTTCCATGTTCAGCCTCAGATTCTCATCTATGCAATAATTCTCTGGTTTCTTACTTTCCTTTTAGCCAATCACTCATGCTGTCACCTCATTCTCAATGTCTTTGAAGTATTCCTGATACTTATATGCTGGTGTTTCAACTGAAATAGGTAGTTGACTCAACATAGCTAAAACAATACAGACTTTCCCTTTCCCAAACCATTTATTCCATCTAGAACTTCTTTCCTCCACTGGTACCATTGTTCTCTCACTTACACAGCTTAAAAATTTAGGGTTATCTTTGACTTCCTTACCCCCACCTTCAACACATCTCGCTTATCTAATTCTTTTTTTCCCCCCATGTCCGCTATTACCAATCCAGTCTGGACCTTTATCACCTTGTACTTCAATAGTTTCCTAACTAGTTTTTCTGGTTTCTTCCCTTCTAATCTAAATGGCATATTATAATCACACTCATCTTCCTAAACCATCACTTACACTGCACCACTTAACTGCCTGATAAATTACTTTCCAATGCCTATACATCAAGGTCCAGGCCCCTTAGTCGGTTTATTTAAGGCCATTCACAGTCTGAGTCTTACCACTCCCAGGATTGTCTCCCAGTACTTCCATACATGAGTGCCAGCTAAATGGAATTTCTCATTATCCCTCAGTACATATCTCTGTCTCTTCATCTTGGCTTTCCCTGTAAAAGGAATACATGTCCTTTTCTTCAGCACACCTAATCCTTCAAATGCCAGTTTAAGAATACCTTTCTGACATTTTCCTTTACCACTGTAGCTTCCAATTATCTCTTTCTTCTGTGAACTCTACTAATTTGGCATGTGTGTCTCTGTGTCATTATTCATTCATATTCTCTGTGTCCCTCTCTCTCTCTCTTCCCCTCACGGGCAAATGCACACAACACATACACACACGTTTTTTCTCCCTAGATAGATTGCAAGCTTTTTGAGGATAGAGACTATGTCTCTTTTTTTATTTATTTATTTTTTATTATTTTTTTTATTTTTTGTCCTTTTTGAGACCGGCCGCACCGTGCTCAGCCAGTGAGCGCTGTGAGCGCACCGGTCATCCCTATATAGGATCCGAACCCGTGGCGGGAGCGCTGCTGCACTCCCAAGTGCCGCACTCTCCCGAGTGCGCCACGGGTTCGGCCCTAGAGACTATGTCTTAAATATCTTTGACTTCCATTAGTACATAGCACAGTGCCTTCTGTGTAAGTGTGTATTTAGTAAATGTTTGTGGAGTGAATTATAAAGGGCAATGAATTGTTAGAGAAGTGTCTTTGCACAAATGGGGTCACTAATGGTAAAATGTAGAAAAGGAATGTATTTAGAGACTCACTGTCTCATCAACGTTCTGTATATATTCTTATTTCTACTCCAGGGTAAGCAGCTGTGTGAAGACTGATGATCATGTCCTGGAAGAGCTGGAAACAGAAGGGGAGAGGCAGCTGAAAAGCCTTCTTCAGCATCAACTTGATACCTCTGTCTCAATTGAAGAGTAGGTGTTGATTTTGCAAACATGTGGAGAGTATCATAGACCCTCACCTCCAGGTGACGAACAGCCTGGGTGGAACACTCCTCTCCCATCCCCTGTTTTTTGGCAAACTTCTACTTATTAGGCAGGGTTTTTTTGCTTCTGTGTCACTTCCTCTTGGAAACCTCCAATATCCCACTAAGTCTGGGCCAAGTACCTTTCCTATGTCCTCCTACAGCACCCTAACATAGCACTTGTAACCCAATATTATCATTGCCTGTTTCCTTGCCTTTCTTCCACTGTTCTCTCACAAAAGCAGGAACCATTTTTATCCTTTTTAAAACTATTAAATCCTCAGTATCTAGCACAGTATCTGATGCATAGTAGGTGCTCAATAAGTATTTGTTGATTCAGTATGTATTAGTCCTGGTGAGGGGACTGTTGATGAAGTTCCATTTTGTTGCAGTGGTGCTTAGCCTAGAAATAGGATATGAAAGAGAAATTGCTGATGAGTGCCATTGTGCCTCTTTTAATGGTGAGCCCCCATTTCTGTGAATTGTGGTAATCTCAAATGTTCTTACTTTCTTCTGGCTTGTTTTGCAGATGTATGTCTAAAAAAGAGAGCTTTGCTCCAGGTACTATGTACAAACCCTTTGGGAAGGAAGCAGCTGGGACTATGACTTTGTCCCAGTTCCAGACACTGCATGAGAAGGACCAGGAAACTGCTTCTCTCAGGGAACTAGGGCTCAGTGAAACAGAAATCTTGATCTGGAAAAGTCATGTTTCAGGTGAAAAGGTGAGTGTTTTGTTTGTTTGTTTGTTTGTTTGTTTTTCTGGAGAAGAAGGAACACGATCTCTTCATTTTGGCATTGAGAACCTTTTCATTTTTAGTTCTCACAAAACTGAGCTTTGTGCCTGAATCTTCTTTGGTTTTTAGGGTAGGGACATTGGTAAAAGAGAAGCCATTCCTTGACTTCTCAGGTAGCACTTTCTATAAACTTTCATTTCTGGACCCTAATCATCTTCTTTTTTGCTTGAGCTGTCAGATCATCACTTTCAGAATGTGTCCTCTATGATTCATGCCATCTTATTTCTTTGATTTCAGAGGACAAAACTGAGGGCAACTCCTGAAGCAATACAGAAACGTCTTCAAGATATTGAAGAAAGGATCTCAGAGCGTCAGCGCATCCTTTGCCTGCCACAAAGATTTGCAAAGAGCAAACAGCTGACCCGGCGAGAAATGGAAATAGAAAAGTCTTTATTTCAGGGAGCTGATCGTCACTCCTTCCTTAAGGCTCTTTATTACCAAGGTATGTGAGCCCCACTGACTTTGATATGTTCTTTCATTGAGAAAAAGATTTAACAGCAGGGCATTAAATATGAAGAGTTAGTGAAGGGAGTAAGGGAAAGACAAACCATCACTACTCTTGAGGAATGTATAGTCCCATGAGAGAGACAAATATGTACACAGTTGTATGACAACATGGAAATTGCTATTATAGAGATATGAATAAAATGCTGAGGGAGCATAGTAACGTAGAGCATCTAAGTCTAGTTAGGAGAGTCAGAGTTGACATTTGTACTAAGTTTTGATGGATCAATAGGCATTTGTCAGGTAAATAAAGGGGATAGGGCATTGCAGATAGTGAGTGAACAGGAACAGGATTGTGAAACTACCTGGTGTGTCTAGGGAACAATGAGAAGTTCAGTGTAGCAGGAGTACAGGGCGCAGCAGGGAATGACAGGAGATGACACTGGAAAGGGAGATGATGCTAGATTGTGAAGTGACTTTAGGATGGACTATAAATTAGCCCAAAATATATAGATAAATAGTATGTGCGTTAACCAGAAAGAATTAGTTTAACAGATTAAGTTTTACCAGGCACTGTGGAAGGTGCACAGAAGTTTAAGAAATGGTTCTTGACCTTGTGTTACATCCTGTTTGGAGAGATAAATATGTGACATTTAGTAACAATGCTATATATAGTTGCTAAGTGCTGTAGGAGTTCAGAGGAGGGAAAGGCCACTGTGTATTGGCACTACTGAAGAAAGCCTCTCAGCAGAGGTAAGATTTAAGTGTTCTTTTAATACTACTTATTCTTTAAAAAGGAGAGGGAATGGCATTTCAGTTGCAACAGATGGTATGAGCACTATGGAATGTTTGGGGAGTTGTGATAGAAAAGGTTAGAAAGGAAGTTAAAATTTTTGAACTTTATTTGGTGGGCAGTATAGTCCTATACAGAGTTAGTTAGTTAGTATGACTATGGTAAAGGTCTTGAGCCAGGAATGACATGATAAAAGCCATATTTGAAAATGATTAATGTGGTGGCCAATAAATAAGATTAGAGAGAGGAAGAACTGGAAACAGGGAGAATGTTAAGAGTATTACAGTCATTTAGGCATGAAGATCTGGAATGGAATTAATGCAGTGGAACTGGAAAGAGAGATAGGTTTGGTTATGAGAGCCATTACAAAGGAAGAACTGATAAAACATGTTGACTTTGAATAAAGGAGGAGGGTCACTGGAGGGGAACATGTCAAAGACAACCCAGATGTTTTTAGCCTGTGTGACTTAACAGTTGGCAAAATAAAGAAAGCTTTTATGGGGAAATTTTGAGGAAGGATGATGAGTTTGATTTTAAACATGTTGAATTTGTGAGAGTGGTAGGGTCATCTAATGCAAATATTGAGGAGGCAGTTGGAAATGCAGTAGTGAAGCTCAGAAGAGAGGTCAGAACTAGATATATAGAATTGGGAATCATCTGTGCTTAAATGATATGTTAAAGACATGAGAATGTTTGAATGATTTGTTAGAAATAGAGAGACCATAGAGATGGCAGAGCAGTGGTGAAGGAAGGAATGAATGAACAAATAAACAACCTTTTGTGGAGAGACATTATAGCATATTGATTAAGAACATGGACTCTGGAGGCAGACTGCCTGGGAAAATCCTGGCTCCCCCACTTAGTAGCTGTGAGATAGATGCTGAGCAAGTTAATTCTCTATGCTTCAGTTTCTTCGTCAATAAATTAAGGATGTTAATAATAGCTATGTTATAGGGTTATTAGGAGGATTAAGTGAGGTAATTCATGTAAATCACTTAGAGCAATACCTGTTATTTGGGGTGGGGGGATGGGTGGTGTATGAATCTGTTCTGTTTCCTATCTTTGAAACTCCTTGCTTTAAACCTTCACAGCATACCACAAAAAGACAAGTGCAGACAAGTACATGACCTCAATGAAGAGGATGATAAAATTAGGCACAAAAGGCAAGTCGAGAGTTTTCTTACAGTGTTAGATTTAGGAATGTAACTTAGGGTCACAGACTTCTAAGTTGAGCACTTATTTATTTCCATATGCAGTATATGACGATGTTTATAGGAAATGATCCAAAGGGAGCATATTGTCCTGATAGAATATTAAAGAGAGGAGTTAGTAGAAGTTGTAAAACTTTTACATTTAGTGTTGTTGTTTTTTTTCTCTATACCTTTAAGTTATTGTACCAGACATAAATTGGCCTTAATAATTTTTAGATCCCATTTCACAAATAATTCTGAATATTTTTATTAATCAGTAAAGTATAACTATTGATGATGATGATGATGATGATATAATAGCTAATATTTTATTTTTGAAATGAACTTACAATAAAATTGCATGGGGCTTTCTTTTTTTTCTCTTTAGTGTACAATTCTGTGAATTGTAAATCATGTAGATTCATGTAACCACCACCACAATCAAGATAGAGAACAGTTCCATCACCCCCCAAAATTCCCTCATACTATCCCTTTATAGTCACTCCCAACCCTCACTCATAACCCCGGCAGTCACTGATCTGTTTTCCATCACTGGAAACAGATTTTAGTTTTTATCTTTTAAAGAATGTCATATAAATGGTCTCATACAATATATAACCTTGTGAGACTGGCTTTTTCCACTTAGTGTAATGCCTTTGAGAGTCATCCGAGTTGTTCATTCATTTTGCTGAGTAGCATTTCATTGTATGGACCTTCCAAAGTTTGTTTATTCATTCACCCATTGTAATGTATTTGGGTTTTTTCCAGGTTATGGTGGTTATGAATAATATTGATGTGAACATTCTTGTACAGGTTTTCATGTGAAAATAAGTTTTTATTTCTCTAAGGTAAATATCTAGAAGTGGTTACTGGGTCATATGGTAAGTGTACGTTTAACTTTATATGAAACTGGCAAACCATTTTCCAGACTGGCTGTATCATTTTGCATTCCCACCAGCAACTTGTGAGAGTTCCACTTGCTCTACATTTTTGTCAGCACTTGGTATTGTTAGTTTATTTTGGTTATTCTAATAGATGTGAAGTGGTAGCTCATTGTAGTTTTAATTTGCATTTCCTTAATGGCTAATGATGTTGAACATCTTTTCATGTGCTTATCATCCTGCTTGCTAAAGTTTTCAAATTTTTTGCTGTTTTATAATTGGGTTGTTTATTTTCTTCCTGATGACTTTTGAGAGTTCTTTATATATTCCAAACATAATCCTCTGTTGGATATATGGTTTGCAAATACTTTCTCTCAGCCTGTAGCTTGTCTTTTCATTCTCTTAACAGTGTCTTTTGTAGAACAATCTTTTTAATTGTGGCAAAATATACATAACATAAAGTTTACCATTTTAACCATTTTTAGTGTATAGTTCTGTGGCATTATGTACACTCACATTGTTTTGCAGCCATCACCACTATTCATCTCCAGAACTTTTTCATCTTCCCAGACTGAAACTCTGTACCCATTGAACACTAACTCCCCCTTAACCCCTCCCCCAGACTTTGGCAATCACCATTCTACTTTGTGTCTCTGAATTCGACTACTCTAGATACCTTACATATAGCATCATACAATATTTGTCCTTTTGTGACTGGCTTATTTTACTTAGCATATTGTTTTCAAGGTTCATCAATGTTGTAGCATGTGTCAGAATTTCCTTCCTTTTAAAGGCTGAATAATATTCCATTGTATGTATATGCCACATTTGTTTAACGATTCATCCATTGATGGACTCTTAGGTTGCTTCTGTGTTTTAGCTATTGTGAATAATGCTCCTGTGAATGTGGGTGTACAAGTATCTGAGTACCTGCTTTCAATTCTTATGGGTATATACACAGAAGTGGAATTGCTGGATCTATGGTAATTCTACATTTAATTTTTTAAAGAACTTCCATATCATTTTTCATAGAGACTGTACCATTTTACATTCCCACAAGCAATGCACAAGGGTTTCAATTTCTCCATACCCTTTGCAACACTTGTTGTTTTCCTTTTTTTTTTGAAATCTTAATGGATGTGAAGGAATATCTCATTGTGGTTTTGATTTGCATGCCCTAACGATTAACGCTCTTGAGCATCTTTTCATATGCTTTTTGGCCATTTGTACATCTTCTTTTGAGAAATGTCTGCTCAAGCCCCTTGCCCATCTTTTAAATGAGTTTCTTTTTTGCTGTTGCATTGTAGACATTCTATGTATATTCTCAATATTAGTTCTTTATCAGATATGTGATTTGCAAATATTTTCTCCCATTCTGTGGGTTGCCTTTTTACTCTGTTGATAGTGTCCTTCAGTGCACAAAGTTTTAAATTTTGATGAAATTCAACTTGTGTATTTTTTCTCTTGTCATCTGTACTTTTGGTGTCATCACCAAGGAATCGTTGCCAAATCCAGTGTCACAAAGCTTTTCCCCTATGTTATCTTCTGAGAGTATTATAGTTTTAGCTCTTATGTTTAGGTCTTTGATACATTTTGTGGTAAGTTTTGTATTTGGTATAAGATAAGGGTCCAAGTTCATTTTTTGCATGTCAGTAACAAATTTCCCCACAACTACTTGTTGAAAAGACTCCATTCCACACTGAATGATCTTGATACCCCGTTCAAAAGTCATTGCCCATTTGTACAGGAGTTTATTTCTGGGCTCTCTATTCCACTGGTATATATGTCTGTCTTTATGCCAGTACCACATTGTATTTATTACTGTAGCTTTGTAATAAGTTTTGAAATCAAGAAATGTGAGAACTCCAACTTTGTTTTTTTTTTTTCGACATTGTTTTGGCTATTTTGGAGTCCCTTGGGATTCCATTTGAATTTTAGGATAGATTTTTCTATTTCTACAAAAAATGTCATTGCAATTTTGGTAGGGATTGCAATGAATCTGTAGATTGCTTTGGTTACTACTGACATCTTAATAGTATTAAGTCTTCTAATCCATGGACATGGGATGCCTTTCTATTTATATGTGTCTAATTTCTTTCAGCAATGTTTTGTAGTTTTTAGTATATGTAAGTCTTTCACCTCAGAGCAAATGTTTTAAACTCTTATAAAATCTAGTTTATCTCTTGTTTCTTTCATGAATCATGCTTTTAAAAAATGTGTGTGTGTGTGTGTGTGTGTGTGTGAATTCTGCCTAACACTTGCTCATGAAAAAGATATTTTCCTGTGTTCTCTTTTGTTGCTTTGGCTCCCACGGATTTGTCATTCTTTTCCCTGGGTGACGGAGCTGCCAAAGATTACTCAAAGCCCATCTCTTCTGAGCAGTGAGAAGCCCTGAAAACGGGGTAATCTCCCAGAACCCTCAAGAAAGAGGCATTCCTTCCATTTGGGAAATTAACCATGAATTCAGGTTCTCTTCCCACATTCTCCAGACAAGGAAGTTGCAGGAAGAAAACATAGGTGGGGTTTTTGCTAAGTACAGTTTAACAAGTTTAACAATAGAAGCTGGTAACATGCAGTTAAGTCGATCCAGTAACAAAGGGTTGATTTTAGCAAACATTCTTCTTACAGCAATTTCCCAGTATCTTTACATATCAATCAGTAACCTGTCTGTCTTTGAGCCAGCAACCTTGCTGTGTTACAATTCTTTATCTTACAACAGAGACTGTATAGCCTGGGGAAAATTTCCTGTCCTTTACAAGTTCCATATTTGAAAATGTAAGGCTTTGGAAAACCAGGCCCTGTGAAGTACATTTCCTTTATGCGTACTTCACATCTCCCCCCGTTTTATTTATTTAAAAGAAAAAGAAAAAGCTATAGATCAGGTTTTCACAGTTAAGACAAAAGCATTTAAAGCAAAGTTGGTATCATTTAGCATGGCAAGTCCTTTTAATTTACTTCAGGTGAGGATTGATGATGTCATCATCTCAGAGTGGCTGCATCGGCATCAGTCCAGGTGCTGTGACTTGGGTGTAATTACCAATGTTGAAACTCTGGAATGGGATTCTGCTCCATATAATAGTTGATTCTGAGTCCAGAGAGTTTGTTAATGTTCACCTGTCCAGGACATTACTGTTTTTAAAGCATCTAGTCTTTTGTAAAATTTTTGCTCAATTACAAGTCTTTTGTTTAAGAACAGGATGTCTCATCCAAGTTACAAACACCCTCTTTAAGGCCAGGAAAATTTAGAGAACTGCTTTTATAGTGAAGACGTTATTTCCCCCTTTATGATCAAGGCATTCCTCATAAAAGCATTGATGATCAATATCTTGATTGGAAAGGTCTTACTTTTTTTGTATGAATCCCATGCTGCTGGGAAGTCCTTTCCCAGGCAGTGATCTGTCCCACGTTGCGGGGGGGAAAGATCAATAGCAGGATGAAGCAGCATTTAGTCCAAATTAAGGCAACATGACAGAGGGGTCAGCAATTTAGAAGTGAGACATGCTATCTTATATCCAAAGCTTTAAATTATATCCTGTTATAAAGAGAGAGAGTTAATTTTCATTGAACTTATAAAAATAGCCACATTGCCATAATAATCATATAGGATACTTAAAGTTATTAAATTTGGAGGGGATCAAATAGGGAGAAAACAAATACTTTTATTTCTATTTAAATGACATTTTACCAAACTGTTGTTAGTTATAGATAGCTTAAGAGAGAGAGTTTTCTTACATTTGGAAAACAAAACATTAAGAGAACCAGCAGTGTTTCAAAATAAGGAAATTGTAAAAACCCATAATTCTTTTTAATTAGTTCACTAATTAACTTTTGTTGTTTTGACCTTTGTGAACAATTTCACAAACCCGTCAGTTTCTTCATTAAAATTTTAGAACTTTAGTTTAAAGCTATGAACTCAAAGTTTGTGAGGAAACTGTACCTATCAGAGTTTTTTCATGAAATATTTGAAAACATAACATTTTAAAATTATAATTAAACCAAGATTATGACTGGTAGCATTTATATCAAGACACAGATAGTTAAGAACCTTACAAGATTTTGGAACACATATCCATAACACCTTCAGTACCGACAATGCTTTCCCATATAGTCTAATTTATTAAATAAGCCAAATAGTTTTAATACATTTTTTATATATCCTTTGAGAAGCTCCAGGGCCCTTGGAATTCCTCAAAGTTGTTTTAAACCAAAAAGGTTGAGCTTTCAGTTTTGGAAAGCTTTGTCAAGCAACAAAAGGCTTAAAACACTTAGTTGAATAAAATCACAAATTATTACAAAAAGTAAAACCAAAGTGACAGAGGGTTTCAAAGGCAGAGAGCACAAGAAATGATCATGAAATAAGTTTCTTAAGCCAGTTATCTAAGGGACAAAGAAAACCTTTTACAGTTTTTTATTAAGAGCAATCAAGTGAAAAGACGTGTAGTTATCCTGTTTGATTAGTAAACCCAGGCAATAATATGTGCTGATAAGAACATTTTTATACATTCAGGTTAGTAAATAGGCATCCATTTATCAGAGCAAACTATACAAAGCCCAGTTTGAGTTTTAGCTGTTTTTAACAAATACGTATTTATGGTTTCTCAGCCAAAAACTTGGTGTATTAGATCTATGCCCTTATCAGTTAATGTTAACTAGGGCCTATGCAATATTGGGCATAGGTTTCCTTTCAGTAGCCATTTTGGGTCCCAGGTTTCCACATGCCATTTGGAGTCATGTAGAGCTTAAGACAGGGTGGTATTTACAAAGATAATGTCTAAAAGATATTGTTTCTCCCAGCACAGCCAGGAGGCAGAGCTAACAAGGAGTTATATTGACCTAGAGACAAATTTAGGTAAAAGGTTTGAATCAAATTTTTAAAATATATTTATCAAAACTTTAGAAAATTTAAG